AGCCAAGCCTGGAACTCAGGGCTCCCTCTGCCATGGCATGCAGCTGTCATGCTGGGATGGGGTGGTCCGAGGAGGCTTCCTGGAGGAGGTGGGTTTTGAGATGAGCTTTGGGATAAGAGTAGGAATTAGATCAGCAGGAGAGGAGGAGCGAGAAAGGGCAGAGCACAGCAGCCCAGAATGGTGTGGAGGAGGGAACCACAAGGGGAGAAAGGTCAGGAGAGACTGGGTGGGAGGCACCAGAGCCATCTCTGTAGCATCTTTTGATGGGTCCTGCAAAGGCCTCACTGCTCCCACATCCTGCACTCTGCCACTGCCATCAGGTACTTCCTCCCCGCTTGTGCAGATCAGATGGTGGCCCTGGGGCCCGAGGCTCCATCTGCTTGTCGCCTCAGCGCTCATGTTCAGTGGGGACTCATGGGTCCAGGCTGGAAGTCACAGGCCAGGCATCCATGCTGAATGCATCTCTCCTGGGAGAGCAAACCCATTCAGTCATAATTTGCCATTAACTCCTTATATTAGTTTATTGGCCTGCTGCAACAAGTTGCCACATACCGGGTGGCTTAAAACAACAGAAATTTATTCTCTCAGAGTTCTGGAGGCCAGAAGTTCAAAACCTTGGTGTTGGCAGGGTTGACTCCTTCGGGAGGATGTGAGGGGGGATCTGTCCTGCTTCCCTCGTGGCTTCTGGAGGCTGCTGGCAGTCCTTGGCACACTGTGGCTTGTGGCTACGTAACTCTGGTTTCTGCCTCTCTCTTCATATGGTCTCCTCCTCTGTGACATCTCGTCTTTTTATAAAGACACTTGTCATCAGGTTTAGGAATGAGTCAACCTGGTTTTCATCCTGAGATCTTTAACTTAATTATATCTGCAAAGACTTATTTTTCCAAATAAGTTCATGCTCATGGGTCCTGGGTGGATGTATCCTGGTGGGTGGGGGAGGGGGGCACACCATTTTCACTACACCCCTGGAGCAGTGTGACAGTGTGCCCTTGGGAGATGAGGCACAAGGGAACTTTTGTTGAGATAAGAGGATAAGTCTGGGTGAGACATTGCACTGGGGGTCTTGGGCAAATTCCCAGAAGTGTTTGGGCCTTGGCTGTAGAGGCTTTTCTGAGACTGAAGACTCAGGGCCCAGTTCTGAAGTGATGATCAGAGCTTGTTGATAGGCTCCACCATGTTGGGGATGGACCTCTGTGCCCATGGTCCACTGTGGGAGCTCATCCAGGGCAGTGCTATCTAGCAGAACCTTCCGTGGTGATAGAAATGTTCTTTAGATCTGAGCTGTGCAACACAGTGGCTCCTATTCCTGTGTGTCTATTGAGCTTTTGAAATACCCACTCTGGCTAGAGCAACTGAGGGACTAGATTTTTTACTTCTATTTAATTTTAATTTTAACTTAGATAGGACTACGGGACTAGTGGCTTCTGTATTGAGCATCACAGCTCCAAAGTGTCTTGATTTCACCCCTTCTCCTTGTCTGTTTTTCATTTCACTATCAAAAATGTAATTTAACACAAGAACTGAAATTGTTCTTTTGTTTTTTTATGTACATAATGCTTACAGTTTTAACTTTTGGCTTACAGACAGAGGCCAGATGGAGCTGACCGGTTTTAGACCCAGTACAAGAAAGCATGGCCTCCTTCTGGAGTGAAATGGAAAAGAGCAGTGTTTTCCTGTGGACAGTGCTGTGGCTCATGGTTGCCTGGTAGTTAAGCAGCAGAAGCAGCTGGAGAGGCTGCAGTAAAATCTGCAGTCACTGGCAGCAAGGAGGTTGCTGGCAAGGTTTCTTAGAGTCAGAAAGAAGGGATGAGAACCCATGTCCACATCCCTGGGCCTTGTTTGGAAGTCTATGAGTTTGGGGTTCTTTGCTGTTTATCATGGTTTCTGGGAAGCCACAGGTGAAATTTGGGTCTCATAAAGCAATTTTTCCCCAAATTACTCCTTGTATTCCTGCTTCCACAGATGGATATTGTATACTATCTTGCTTTAGAGTGAGGATATTTATTTTTGCACACTGTTTAGACATGATCTTAAACAACACTTCATTTATTTACACGTTGGCATGTTTTTGACCCTTCTGGATGAAAAATAAAGTGTTTGCCTGAGAGCAGAAAATCTCCAATGAGGTGGCTCTTCCTAGGGTGATGGGATCTTCATCATCTCCTTTTCCTCCTGAAGCTCATCTCCTTTTCCTTGCTTCTTCCTGGCAAACCAGCCACAGTAGCATCAAGACTCAAAGCACCTGCCTCTGTGCTCATGCTGCATGGGCACCCATGTGTCCAGGCTAGAAGCCACAGGCTAGGAAGAGGAGGAGGTTCTGGGCCTCAGACTCTGCTAATGCAGGCAGATCAGGCCTATTTTAGATGGGGATTTGTAGAGGTGTCTGCTGCTCAGGGTCATGCTAGCACTGCACTGTGTACATGTAAGACACAAATTAGGGATTTAGAGGCGCGGAGGCTGCTGAGTGTTGCTAGGCAACCTTTCAGCTGGGCCTGGAGGTAACACAATCTCTGGGAGCAGCCTGGTAGGAAAGCCTCCTAAGGACAAAACTGAACTTTAAAAACAGCGTCTTCTGCAACTGCACCTGCCTCGCTTGCCTCTAGAAAGGGTGGGGGCAGGTCAGCAGAGCCATGCTGTTATATAAGCTGCTTGGGGGAATTGTGCATCCATGGATTCTTTATTTGTTATGTCTTCTTTTCCTTATGTATTTATTTATATCCCACCTTGTACAAGAGAGGATCTGTGGTCGCTTTCAGAAACACAGATGCTGCAGCAGGACAAACATTAAATAAGAAGAACCTGGGGCAAATGGAAAGGAAGCGTAAGAAAATAGGAGTGTTGTTGGTCACTCAGCAAGGATATTGAGGATTTACCATGTGCTTGGCTCTGTAGGTACAGCAGTGAACAGAAAAACAGTCATGGTTCCTGCCCTCCTGGAGCTTACAGTCTAACAAGAAAGGTGCAGGGGTAGGGTGGGGGAGGCAGGAAGAAAGGCCATCATGGATCCAGTGCTTTTGTTGGGGGTAGGTTGCAAATTAGACTGTGAGTCTCCTGGTGGCCAAAGCAAGAGGTGACTACAATTATGAGGGGTTGGGTGTGTTATCAGTGTTGTGTTGGTAACAGTACAGCAACAGTAGCTTCATCCTACTGTCCTGGGTGTGCAGACCATGACACACGAGCCGCCAGGCCCTGTGCAGAGATGCTCCCTTCTCTCCTGCTTCGCTGTCAGCCTCCCTTTGGCACCAGCCTCCTGATTGGGTTCATGTCATCCATGAACTGGTGGCCATCCCTCAAGTGAAGGGCTTGGGTGCTCTTGGGCCCAGCCAGTCCCAGAACTCTTCCCTGCAACCTCCCACTCATATCCTAGGCCAGACTGTTCTCTCTTTCTAGAATGCCATTTATCTCTGTTGTCTCTGTCTTCTGTCCTTGCCCATTTAGGGACCCTTTGCAGTTTTTAATGTGCCCTTTACTGATAGCATTTTATTTGCTTCTTCTAGTAATATGGTTTGATTCTGTGTCCCCACCCAAATCTCATCTTGAATTGTAATGCCCATGTGTTAAGGGAGGAACCTGTAATCCCCACATGTCCCAGGGTGGGGGGGAAGTGATTGGATTATGGGGGCAGTTTCCCCCATACCATTCTCATGATAGTGAGTGAATTCTCATGAGATCGGATGATTTTATAAATGGTAGTTTTCCCTGCACTCTCACATGCTTTCTCTCCCCTGCTGCCATGTAAGACATGGCTGCTTCCCCTTCCACCATGATTGTAAGTTTCCGGAGGCCTCCCCAGCCATGCAGAACTGTGAGTTAATTAAACTTCTTCTTCTTTCTTTTTTTTTTTTTTTTTAAATAAATTACTCAGTCTTGGGGAGTGTCTTTATAGCAATGTGAGAACGGACTAATACATCCAGCAACCCTGATGAGCTAGCTGTGATCTTAGTCATTTACAGCAAGAGGAAGCAGAGGCACAGCCTGGCCTGGGTTTGCCTGAGGTTCCACAGCTTCCTGACCGCACTTGACTCCTATATTTGGCTTCATCAGATTTGGCATATATGACTTTGCTTATATAGTGGGCATGTAGCTTGCTTATAGACTCGGGAAGAGCCTAATCCTTCTGCTTCTGGCATCTCTCTGGGAGGCAGGCCAGAATTTTATTACCCCTTCCACCATCCTTGCCCTCAAGGAGCTCACAGTTTAGTTGAAGAAGGATCCACACAGGTGAGATGACAGTGCAGAGTAAAGAAAGTGTGAGTGTGAGTTAGGGTATTAGTCAACAGCAGCACTGGGTGCTTAGGGTGACAGGAGGTCTGGCATAAAGATATATGGAATGGTTGTAAGATCTGGACAAATTTAGCCTATTGGTGTTTTTATTTCTGCTGCTGTTGCTTAACACTCTAACTCACACTCACACCTTCTTTATGCTGCACTCTAATCTCACATGTGCTGATCCTTCTTCTAATTGGGCAAAGTTCACTTTAAAGTGCAGGGGCATCGAATGCCATATACCCTTGTATGAGTTACCCATAGAAGCAAGAAAGGCCTTACCTCCTGTATTCTTGAAAGCATTCTTCTATTAATGCAACCTTAATTTGCAGCAGCCTGGTGGTATAAGAGACAGCCTTTATAGGTATGCCTGCATTGTAAGCCTCTTATACAAGAGGAGACTTCTTGGGGCACTTGGAGACATAGGGCCCACTTTTCCCTGAGGATTGTTGAAGAAATCTTGTTTAAGAACATGAGGGCAAGTGCCTTGTGCGTGTCCCATTAATGAATGCTGCCCGCTCTCAGGTTACATAGCAGTGGTCTTGGATGGATTTCAATGTTTTGATCCCTCTTTAAAGAAAGCAACCGCAGCTATCCCAATTAGGAATTTGGAAATACCCTTGTGCAGCCGTTGGGGTGGGCGTTGATTGGGCCATTGTGTTATCATTCCACGCATCTCCCAGAGATAGAGACCTGCATAAGTAAAACCATATTTCTGTTCTTTATGATCCAAGGTACCAATCCCAGGACTATGGGGCAGACTCAGGAGGCAGCACATGGGGAACATTCTCAGACTTGGTAAGTAGCTGGCCCGCTGATAGAGGAGATTAAGGTGCTTTTGATCTCTTCTCCCCTAATGACAATGTCTCTAGTTTTAAAAGTGACTTGGGGAAATCTTTCTTTGAACAGTCAAGAGGCTGCTTCAAAAAGAGCTCGCGCTGTTTCTAGACAATGTATCTGGAAAATTATGCTGCTGAATTGTAAATGGAGTTAGATGAATTTTCCCTTCTGTCCCCCTTAAAATCATGACTTCGTCCTTTAGATGCATTAGCTAATGACCCACAGTGCACCAAGGCTCCCCACTTTCTCCTGGAGTCGGGCCACCTGTCAAGGCTCCAGCCCCTCAGAGGTTTGCTCTGGACAGTCACATCTGTCTGCATTTGCCTGAGGAGTCGTCTGTATGCTTTAGGGCATTGCTTTGCTGCCATGCTCTGCAACCTCCATCCAAACTTGGCCCTCCGCCTGTTATGTTGAGCAGGTAGCCTGGGGAGAGGGACCTCCTGAAGGCAGCAGAATGATGTAAAGGCATTCTGGTGAGATTAAGTCTGGAAGCAGCAATTCCTTGTGCAAGATGTGTGAGGAAAAAAAAAAAATATGTGAGTGTTGCTTTGGCCCTGAATGCATGGAGAGCTATATGAATTAGTTAGAACTCAGATGTCAAATCATCAATGAAAGAAAATCTGGCTTAAGTAAACATTTAACCCCTTATGTCTTCATGACATGGAGATTAAAAGTGTGAACTTTAATGTAGACTGCATGGGTTCAAGTCCCAGTGTCTCCAGTTACTAGCTGTGTGGTCTTGGGCAAGTCGTTTAATTTTTCTGAGCATAAATTTCCTCATCTAGAAAGCAGCATCTAGCTCAGTGAATTTTGAGAAATGAAATAATGCATAAATAAAACACCTGCTTTATCTGCTGTGTGCCCTACCAAATTTTGTTGTTGCTTTGTAATTATAATTATTCGAATGTTATTCTAATCCTTGACTGATTGTTCACAAGCTTTTTACCTTGCTTAACTGTGACTAAGCTCCTTGTGCAAGGAGCTATGGGACAAAGAGGGAAGGATGAGATTTCATTTCAATTTCATTAGAAAAGAATAAATGCACAAAAAGTAAAAATGTGTTTTGAAGCATATAAATTTATACCAAAAGAGAGAGATGATTATTAATATTCATATTTAGTGAGAGCTTCCACATAGAATATCAAAATGCAAGAGAATATTGCTTCCACTCTAACAGTAAAACAAACCAGACAGTTTATAAAAGCACATATTTTAAAGTCTGCCCTGAGGACACAAGGTAACCTAGTGAACTAAAATCAAAAGAATGGCAGCCCCTCCAAGGAAATTACCCTGGGCAGAGCAGCAGGAGGAGGAGGTAACCATCAGAGATAGTAATAAGAAAACAACTGAAATTGTAATCATGTTTTAAGAGCCAAGTATGGGCTAGCATAACGATTTAGAATTATTGTACGCTGCAGACACAAGGGGTGTCTCACTCTTGTCCTTTGGCTTCCACTGAGAGCTTACACAAAAAAATTGGGGGCAGAGTAAAAGGATAGACAACTCTTTGTGGTGCAGGTCCTGCCTGTCTGTAGCAAGAGAACTAATAAAATCCCTCCCATGCTCCTGACCTCTTGTGAGTAAGAGGCAGAGGTTGTCTGCCACTGGAAGTTCTGGGAGGTGCATACCTGAGGTAGAGGTATACACAAGGCCTGCCCAACACTAAGGCTAGGGCAGGGAAACCAAGAGAAACCCTCATGGACCATGCATGGGCAAGAGTCAGTGGTTATCTGCTGCTGAGAAAGGGGCAGAAAACCAGGTCTTACTCAGGATCTTGCACTGAGTATAAGGCAGCTGTTCTCTACCACTGGGTGAAGGCCAGAAACCGACCCAAGCTCAAGGTTCTGCACTGAGTGTGAGATAATGTCATGTGAGGAAGAGAGAGGAGAGCTAAGAGTGATCCTCTCTAAGGCCCAGGTATGTAGGGCTGCCTAAATAAATCCTTCTGAATGGTGGGCCTTGCGTTAGGCATCAGACAGTAGTATAACAGTAGGAGAGGGGCAGGAATGTTGAGAGACCTCTTCTACAGTTCAGAGCCTGCTGAAGTCTAAGGTGGTACAGGAGAATTGAGAGAAACTCTATTACACTAGGCTTCATGCTAAGTGGGAGACAGCAATATTCCACCAGTAAGAGAATCTGAAGATTGTAGTGCATTGAATGTAACTAAAACAATAGCAAAGTGCAAACCCAGCTCAAATACAGATTAGATAGTAAGCTTCCCGCATTAACAGACTGATAGAGGAAGACAATTCTCCATCTTTTGATGTATTTGCCTCATTGCTACTATTTTTTACATACAATGTGTTGCATTCAATATAAACTTACCAAACACATACACACCCCCAAGCAAACAAATGAACAATGATATGATCGCTTGTCAAGACACAACATAGTCAATAGAACCAGACCAAAGCTGGCCCAAATGTTGCAATTATCAGACAGGGACTGTAAAGTAGCTAAGATAAATATGCTGCAGGATCCAGTGTGGAAAAGGTAGGCACCATGGGGATTTTCAGCAGAGGTATGAAAACTATATAAAAAAAGATCTAAATAGAAATGCTAAAAAATGAAAAAAATGATGTCAGACATGAAAAATTCTGTCAATGAAATTATTAGAAAATTGGACACAGGAGAAAAAAACTTAAAGATACATCAACAGAAATGATCCAATCTGAAACAAAAAGAAAAAAGAATGAAAAAAAATAGTATCTGAGTTCTATGGTATAATATCAAATGTCTTATATATAATTAGAGTCCTAGAAGAAGAAGGTGAGAGAGAACATGACAGAAAAAATATTCAAAGATAAAAGAATAAAACATTTTCCAAAACTAAAGGGTAAATATAAGCCTTACCAAGAAGCTTAGAGAATCCCAAGCGGAATCAGTCAAATTGCTGAAAACAAAGGATAAAGTATGTCAGTTTCGGCTTGCTACAGGAAAAAACAAAAGATCTTGTCAACCTATAATTCTATATCCAATAAAAATATCATTCAAAAATAAAAGTGAATTGAAGACATTTTCAAGCCGACAAAACCAGAAAGAAGCCATCTCTAGGAGATGCTAAAAAGAGTTCTGTAGGCTGAAAGAAAATGATTTCAGATGGAAACCTGGTCCTACAGGAAGAACTTGCATGAATGGAAAACATCAGAAAGAGTGAATAGGTCTATATATAAAAAGTAGTTTTAAAACTTTTTAAAGATAATTGACCATTTAAAGTAAAAATAACAAAGGAACATGGAGATTAATAGTATTTTAGAATGAAAGTGATAACATAAAGGGATGGGGGAACTGTTCTTAAAGTGCTCATGAAGTAATAGAATATTTTTTTGAAAGAAAACTGTAATGAATTAAAGATAAAGATTGCAGTCAGTAGAAAAATCACTAAAAATAATTCAAAGAGGCATGACTAAAATGTCAGTAGAGGAGCTAAAATGAAATACTAAGAATATATTTCATCCTAAAAATAATAGGAACATAAAAACAAAGAGCGTAAAGGATAAAAACCAAACCAAAATTTGGTTTAAAATCAAAATAGATAATTGCATTAAATATAAAGAGATTGATCTTCCCAATTAAAAGGCAGAAATTGTCAGACTGGATAAAAATGCAAGACTCAACTATAGAAATACACTTTAAATATAAAGATACAAACAGGTTGAAAGTAAAGTATTTGAAAAAGATAACCTGCAAATACTGTGCGTAAGAAAACAGGTGAAACTAATATCAGGTGAAGTAGACTTCAAGTTGACAAAAAGATATCAGAAACATATTATCATGTTATTAAGGGCTTAATTAATCAAGACCACATAAAAATCCCCAAAGTTTTTGTACCTGATATCAAAGTTCCAACATACATGAAGCAAAAATGGATAAAATTAAAGGACACTATACATATACAATCATAGCTGAAGAATTTAATATACCCTCTCTCAGTAATTAATACACTGAAAAATTAGTTGAGTGTATGGAAGATTTGAACAACACTGCTGATAACCTGATCTAATTGACATTTTTAGATTACTCCACCCAACAGAAGCAAAACACACATATTTCTCTAATGCATGTGAAGCATTTCTCAAAAGAGATCATGAACTGGATCATAAAACAAGTCTCAATAAACTTCTTAGATTGAATTTCTAAGTATATTCTCTGAACACAATCAAATGTAAAGTGGAAATCAATGACAACAAGATACCTAGAAAAATTATTTGAATGTTTGGAAATTAAACAACACATGATTAAATAAACCATGAGTCTCAGAAGAAATGAGGGAATTTAGAAAATATTTTAAATTTAATGATAAAGAAAATATTTTGATAATGAAAATCAAAATTTGATAATAATGAAAATAAAAATCTTTGGCATACACAAAATTTAAAGGGAAATGTACAGCTTTAAATGCTCGTATTAGAAAATAAGAAAGGTATAAAATCAATGAACTTTGCTTCCACCTTAAAAAGCTAAAAGAGATGAGTTAACCATAATCAGAGTAGAAAGCAATAAAACAGGAGACAAAAAATCAAGAAAATCAGCAAAAACTGAAATTGGTTTGCTAAAAAGATTAATAAAATTGATAAACACCTAGGAAAACTAATGAAGATAAAAAGTCAGAAGATACAAATTACCAATATCAAGAATAAAAGAAGAGACATCACTAAATAGCCTACAGACCTTAAAAGGATAGTGTAGTCATATTATAAATAACTTTATGCCAATTAATTCAACGATTTGGATGAAAGGGACAAATTCCTTGAAAAACATAACAAAATGGACCCAAGAAGAAATAGGAAATATAAACCCTATATTCATTAAATAAATTGGGTTTGTAATTTAAAAAACTTCCCACAAACAGAAATCTAGGCCCAGCTAGCTTCTCTGGCAAATTGTTTCAAATATTTAAGGAAGAAATAATATCAATTCGACACCAACTCTTTCAGAAAATAGAGTGTTAGTGAATACTTTCCAACACATTCTATGA